GGTTTCCTTTTGGAGGAAAATAAGTAAGTCTCTCTACAAGTGCAACAAGTAAACAAAATAATTGCAAAAAATCTTATTGAGTGAAAATACGTTTTAGTTAAGATTTGTAGGTGTTCAGTATACAATACAGTAGGTGTTCTAATGCAATAAATTTATATTATTGTATAAATAAAATTAATTAAAATGAGAATATATATTTATGTAAGAATAAGTAACTAAAATATAAACATTTATTAATTAAAAATATTTTGGAAAACTATTAAACTTACAATTTATGCTTGTATTAATATATATGGAATTCACATTTCAGTAGAGCGATTTTTATTGTTAAATATATATTTTCATATAAAAGTTTTCAACTATAAACTATTTTATAAATAAAAATTTCAAATTAAAATTTTTTTTTTTTTCAAAAAAAAATTTCAAATTAAAATTTTTTTTTTTTTTCAAAAAAAAAATTTCAAATTTATATATATTTTTGTTATATAAAAAATTTTAATTGTTATATTGAGTCCCATCCTAAAATAAAAGATTTATATAAAATTTCATACCCGTATTCACTCTTATATTTTTATCAAATTGTTGACTATCTTTTAGCTCAGTTTTTGTGAAGGAATTAATAAAAATTAGCATATTAATAATTTTTTTTTTTGCGGCAAGGAGAAGTGGAATGCCTACGCACTGACCACAATCCGGCTTCTCGGAAAGTGAGTGTCCGACATTCCTAGAGACTTTGTCCTATCCCGGGACTGCGTTAGTATTACTTCGAGGTAGGGTCCCTATTAGTCAATTAAGACTTTCATCGATGTGACCTGCGTCCAGGCCCCACTACTGCTATAGATGATTAACCTTGCCCTTCATATTGGTGTGATACATCTGCTTATTCCCGCTGTGTTTTGTCAAGGTCTACTTTTTTTTATTCTTAGAATTATTTAGTAGTACACCTTTAATATTTTTCGGTATTATCCAAACCAATTAATTCGCACCCATAACTGACTTATAAAATTCTTTGCTGTTTTCATTATTACTATGCAACTTAATGGTCGATGACATACTTACTTGAGTAATTCTTCAAGTTTAATTTTGGTTCATTATGCAGTAAACTGTGAGAAAACTGTTATAGAACGCTAATTTTAATCCTCAATTTCACCCAAGTGTGGCGTGGGACAATAAAAAACAATTAAACTTTCAAAAAAAAATCAATAAAACATTATAAACAACAAAGATGTTGTATAAGGTATATAATGTTTTTTAAAACTATTATAAAAAATATTTATATAAATATTTCTTTCATTAGTACAATAAATTTCAGTGATATATAGTCAGTTCAAATAATTTTTTTGTGAAAATAACAATCCTCAAGTCCACTTCTGGACTCTTAGGAAGATATGCTGATTTAAGGTCCGTCATCAACTAAAAGACAAATAAATGATATGATTTTTTAGCCTAGTTAAAGCCTAGTGTGGGGTACTGATAAACCCCTCAGCCATTATAGAGTAAAAGTGCGTAATAGCACTAACTCAAGAAGAAGAAGAAGATATATATATTTTTAATTTTTTTCACTGCAGTTTGATACTGACAACTTATGCATGTATTTAAAATAATAAAAATATTTAAAAAAAAAATTATATTTTCTTAAAATAATCACAAATTAAAAAAAAAAAATAAACAAAAATTAAAAAAAAATAAAAATCGAAGAATCAAAAATGTGTATATAAACGATATTCAGAAATATAAAATCGTTGTGTCGTCGTATCTCCATAAGCAACCAACAAAAATGCAAATTCTTGCAACATTAACCGAAAAATAACTCATTTTCGATAAACAATTCTTGGAAAAACAGCGCCAGCGCAGCGAAAAATGCAAACGACACAACAAAACAAGTTGCGGGGCAGAGCACAGCAGAACGCAAGAGCATAAGTTCAATATACTCGAGCATGGCGCAACAACTGCTACATCAAGCAGCAAGTAACAATATGCCGACAACTATGAACGACCGACCGACCAACCGATGACTGTGAAACTAAAAACAAAAATATTGTAGAAATAAAATTAAAAACAAAACAAAACAAATCCCAACAAGCCACAAAAAAAAAAAAATAAGTTAACTTACCATTGCCTTGCGTTACTGCAATTCATTGGCTGCTGTCGACTTAAGACTTGTCTACTTCCCTGCCTGACTAAATTGAGTGTGCGTTAAGTGGAGTGCGCAGCAGCAGCAGCAGCAGCCGCAGCATTAATAGTAGTAGTATTAGTAGTAGTAGTAGTAGTAGCTCCAATCCAACAATGCAGTTACGTCGCGTAAAGCAGCAATAAAAATGCTTCACCGTGTCTAGTAGCGGTGGATATAGCACATTCTTTTGCTTATTTACGCGCAATCCATTTGTTGTTGTTGTTTTTTTTTTTATTTTTTGGTCTCCATTAAGGATACAGCATTGCCACCACAAGTATTCAATTGCTGCAGAAAAACAATAAAACAGAATACAAATGATTGCATAAGGCAGAGAGGAGGAGGAGGAGGGAGGGAGGACGAGATGAGGTTGAAGAAGAAGAGTTACATTTGAGTGTGATGCGCATAGCTGAAAAGCAAAAGCAAGAAAAACAACAACACATCGTCGTATTTGCATCAACCAGCTAACGAAACAGCATAGCACAGCACAAGAACAAGCACAGCATCGCACTCGTAAAGTAACATTCCCAGACCAAAACATTAAAAAAACAATAACAACAACAATAACAGGGCAACAGAATTAAAAAGAAAAAGAAAAAAACATTAAGAATTTGTTGCAAGAGGCGGTGGGAAGCAAAAATAGCATTGGTATGCAGACAAATCAAATAACAAGTATAAAAACAAGAAGAAGCATAAGAATAAAGTTCAAAAACAGAATAAAATCAAAATAGAATTCAAGCTTTTCAATGGAATTTTGCGCAGACGCAAATATGTCGATAGTCGTTCAAATTACAAAATGCGCTTATCCCTCTAGACTTTACTAAAAAAAAAAAATAAATAAATGAAATCAAGAAGAAGAAAAATTTTTTTATTTATAATACACAAACAAAAATGTATGAAAAATAAAGCCGCCGACGCTATGTTGTTGTTATTGCCAATGTTGCTGTTTTTGCTGCTTTTGTTATTGCAAGTTAACGCAATTCAGCTGGGCTTGTTGCCAATATTAAATATGTTTCTGTTAATGTTGTTGTTATTGTTATTCTTGCTGATGATGTTTTGTTGCATTGCAAGAACAACAACAACACCAACAGTAAAGTTTTAAGTAAATTCTTAATTAAAAAGTGCCAGGGAAAAAATGAAATAAAAATCAACAAATGACTTCCAAGAAATTCGGTGCGAAATTTGTGTGGTTTTAATTTTGAGATGAAAGAAAATATGTATAAAAAAAATAACAAAACTGTATCTTAGAGAGATCCATATAATCACTGGCACATCCAATCCAAAATATATTTTTATATTTATCTTTAGTTTTTGCCAGGATAAAAGCGCGCGCGCGCATAAAATTTCATTAAAAAATTTTTAAGCTTAACGACTTTTTTTGTTTTTGCAAATGCATTTTTTTTTTTGTCATAATTTATACCGTTTTTGTTTTTTTTTATCGAATAAATAATTCGAACACTGAACATCCAACTGTAGGTTAAGATGGTTAATAGAGTGTTACCAGACCTGAACTTAAAACGTTTTGTAATTATTAATGCAATTGCATTGCAAAATATGAAACCATCTTCTTAACCTTCTTCACTATGTTCTTGAAGCGATTTATAAAAGCTTAATAGATCCATCTTAACGATGGATCTTGAAAGTTAAACTAACCTATTGTATCGATATTGAATAAAATTAGTTAAATTTAATTCAATTCTGTTACTGTTGTAACCCGCTGGGACCTGCTTATGGAGTTCTTTTTGGGAGGTGTCAAACGGCACTTGGTTGTCGCTGGCGATGTTTGACTCGGGGACGTAGATCCGGCTGTTCTTGCATCCTGTCTTGCTGTAAGTTATAGGTACTAGTCTTTAAATACGTGGATGTTGTATTGGGTTAGTTTTGGTTTGTAGTGAAGGTTTTGTGTCCAACATCGACGAAAGATTTTCCCAAAAAAAGACCTCAGTGCTGAAAGACACTTCTCCATCAAGCTAAAGTGAACCAACCTGACAAGTTTCTAATTTTGCAGTATGACAACTCTGTTAAATTGGTAAGAAAAGGTGCCGTGAAGATTTTAAATCTTCTCCTAGTTAATGACGGACACTGACAAATGAGATGGAATACAATTTTCTCCTCATCCGCAAAGACACAACGTCGACAAAAGTCATTTTAGGGTACATCCACTTTTTTAACATGTTTTTCTGTATGCAGTGCTCCCTGAGCACCAATATCATAGTTTTAAGCAGATTAGTTAAGTCAGCTAATTGGCACGTTATTTATTTACCTTTGACCTCCAGGTCGATCTTGAGAATTGACATAAAGTTTGTTTAGCTATTCTCAGATATTTTTAATTGCTCACCAGCAAATATTAATATCTAAGCAATGAATATCAGGGAACAAAGTGTCCGTTTAACTAGCTCCTCTTCCCTACAGTTGAGCGAGCTGACATTGTGTCTAAGTACCCATGTGAGCTAAACACTGAAACGCCTAGCTAACTTGTTAAGAGAAACCCAGCATTCTTTAATTGTTACGGATGTAGCTGTGCTAGAGATTTGATAGCTGTTTGGCTTTCTAAACATCCCTAAGACCCATTTTATTGCATAGTGAACCGTTATTACTGCTGTCTAAAAGACACTACAGTGGTTCAGTAGTCAAAGCGATATGTTAAGAACTAGTTTTTAGGAAAATATGCTACTGCCAACTCTTATCTATTTTGTGATGTTTTTCTTATCTACCTTTTACATAGACTCAACTCATAAAACAATTACAATAAATTTTTAAATTTATTTTAAAATAGTAGCCTAAAAATTTTTTTATTAAAATTGTTAAATCAAATGTAAATTTTATAATTTGAATCATATAAAATAGTTTTTTCTTTGCTTAACTGGTCTTAAGTAAAATCTTCAGGAACAAACCAAATTTACAGTAGAATAATGATTGCTAAATTGTAGACCGGGTACTCAACTTTCCTATAAATAGTTCGGCCATCTACATTCTGATTATATAGCAATAATTATACTTGTCTCCGCATTACTAACTGTTTTGTGTTTAGTTTTGATTGATAAGTGATTTGTGAAAATAAATTTTATGTATTACGTTTTGCGGAGCAATTTCAAGGAAGATACTTCAGAAGCAAAAATGTTTAAGTTTTTAAGATTAAGGTATGTAAAGACTCATCTAATTTCAATTTGATTTATGGAAAATAATAAGTTAATTAAATTTATATTTTTATAAATGTAATTGACAAATGACTCTCAATATTATACTTTATAAAATTGTAAAGTATAAATGTCTTAATTTAAAATGATATAATGCATTTCGCTAGGTAATATGTATTGAAATTAGAATATATATTGACTCTGCTCTAAAGAAAATTGATTAAACAATATATTTATAATCACATTACCGAGCTAATCGTAAAGCTTGGATTTTGTGTTTGTTGATATTCCTAAAGCCTTATAATCGCCTTTTTTAGTTTAGAAAAACGGAGTTTGTAATAAACAGATTTATTTATACTTAATTTAATATATTATTGTAATATAATAATATATTATAATGTTTTAAGCAATTTTTTGAGATATCTATGTACTATATTGTAGAAAACACTGCACATCGAATGGATTTTCATGCAGTTTAATCATTGTAGTCAATATTTTATGATACTTTGTACTGTCTTATAGAAAGAGTATTATTACTTAATAGACTTCAGTATAATATTTAGCATTCATGCTTTCTTCTTTGTACGGGCAGATCATATAACATATATTACAACATGCACACATTTTAAAGTACTAGGACTACTAACTACTACTTATTGCTAAAAATGAACTACACACAATTTTCTCCACTCAGTTAACTATTGTTTTGCTAATGTTGTATTATGGTATTTTATTATTGTATTTTATTCATTGTGATATACGGACTCAAAAAAAACCTATTGACGACTATCTTTACACACCTATAATTGACGTTCATAATCATAAATATATACTTCTTTTTGACAATATTCAGTATACTTATGCGAAATAAACCGCTTTCACTTCACCAAATGCTCCTGAAAAATAATAATTAACATCGTTAGATATTAGTTAACTGGAAGCTATAACTGAAATTTACTTTACATATTAATCGGCAAGCAGAATCTTCTTATTTACTTACTGTAGTCCTCTTCTCGTCGTGAAACATAGGGCATGTAAGCAGTAACTTCTGCTTATAAATATTTAAATAGATTATAGATACAATGGATCTAATGAAGAAATAAAACTATACTAGTGTAGAAAACTACCATCATTTAAAATATTAAAAATTAATAAACAAAACATTTTTATTGATATATGGTATATATATTATTATACTTAATTAAATTAATAGCTAATTTAAGTAATTTTATTATTATTAATTCTTTAATATTAAAAGCAATTTCTTAGTTTTTTATTCTTAATTACAATTAATTTGCTATTAAATTCGCTTAAAATTAGCTAATACGCTTTTTTACTTGTAATTCTCTTAATAATAATAATAATAATAATAATATACTCGTATATAGAATCAAAAAATAATAATGCTTTAGTTTTAGTTGACTTTAATATTAAAATGAAATTTTCTATCTTTTGGATAAGCTTTTCTTTAATGCTGCTCATATACTTACTACCAGTACTTTAGGCTTCTAGTTACCATAATTACGTTTTTATCAAAACTCCTTAACTCCTTAACGCTCCTCTTTTTCATAACCGCATTTGGTACATATTCCCCATTTTTTCATAACTTATGTATGGTCTTTTTGCTCATTAATCTTTTTGTTCACAGTGTTTCAACATCAAAAATTTTAATAAGCGGCATACCGCTCCAAACTCAATTCGAAGACATCGAACCTCTTCTGAAGCCATACGGCATCGTTAAACAGTGTGAGGCTGTCTCTAGTAAGGACCCCAGTACTCAAACAGTACATATTACATTCGATAGTCCCGAGCAGGCTCAAAGGTATTTTCCTATATTTTCATTCTTTCTTTTGAAACCTAGACATTTAAATAGTATAAGTTAATTATAACAATAAACAAAAATAAATCATAATATGTAGGAATTTATAATAAAAATAATAAAACTATTAAATAAAATAAAATTTAATGGCATATATAAAGAAATAATTATAAACTAAATAAAAAAAATAGTAATATATAAACTAAATGAAGATAAATAAAATACAATATAAAATGTATATTCTATATGAAAATAAATGAAAATTAAATTAATTTAAAACAATTAATAAAAACAGAAAAAAAATAATTAATAAAATATAATAAAAAGTAAAAAATAAATTAGAATTCAAATAATTTAAAACAATAAAAAAAAAAATACAATATCTTAATAAATAACAAAAATATTGAAATTAGAAAATAAATTAATTGATCGAGTAGTAAAAATAAAAAAACGAAATATATTTTTATAGATACAGCTATTCCTCTCTCTGTGAAGGTTTCATTCGCATACCCCTCCATTTTCTTATATGAAACTTTTCAACTAACATAATTTTATATATAATTCTAATTTATTAATCAGATACATTCTTTGTTTATTTGTAAGTTAACATTAAAATTAATTTTAAAATTAATTAAGAATAAGGAACTGGACTGGTAGGTCATTTACCCTGTGCTTAATACATATTAAGCACATTCTTATATATATAAGCGAAATATATAATATAATATAAGCACATAAATACATATTCACAATACATAATTGAGAAAGACAAGAGATATTTTTAATTAAAAAAAAAATTATTAAAACAAAAAAAAAATATATATATATTATATAGCATAAAGCATTTTTTATATAATAACTTCTTTTTATATTAATTATAAAATATAAAATCATATAAACAAAGGGCTACCATTAGCTGCTAGGAGTTTTAGCTCTAACTAATACATTAATATATAAAATAATTAATTATTTAGCTAATAACTATTAATTTAGTTGTTCTAATATAAAAAAAATAAATAATTAATATGAAAATCAAATGCAAATCATTAAACAAACTTATAAAAATAAAACTTGTAATGATAAATAGACAGTTAGGTTAGGTTATGCTGGCAGGTCAAAAATGTCTCACGTTCAACATTAAGGTCTATTGCGATACCAGATCAGAGTCTTATTTCTATCGCGCGTGTTTTTAGCGAATTGTATTAAGAGTACAACAGCAACCTCAGGCATGTGTTTCAGTCCTGTAAAACTAACAGCCCCAAAATATTTTTGTCGAGTTCTCCAGAAAGTCGGGCAGTTACATAGCAGGTGTTCCAGAGAAATATACAATTAAATCATATAAATAAATATTAATATAAAAATTCAAAAATTTTAATAAATAAATTATATAATTTAAAAAAAAAAATATGTACTGAATAAAAATAAATCATATATTGTAAAACAGATTTATAAATATGGTATTCTATGCGTAATTGAATATTAATTTATTTCTTTCAATAGAATAAGTAATATAAGTATTTCTGAGAAGGTTTAAAATATAATATTTTAAAATGCAGCAATTAGCGAAATGTTCTTTCGCTATTATTTCATGAACTGAAATAATATGATATATAATGTCTGTATATTGATGAAGATTTACCAATCCAAAATTGATCAATTATATATAGAAAAATTAGGAAGCGAAGACCTTTCCAATAGATTTTGTATACAACTCTTAAAACAAATTTCATTGAATGATATGAAATTGTATTGGTATTTTATTCTTACTATTAATATTATTTTTAATATATTATTATTATTATTTTTAATATAATATTATTATTTTTAATATAATATTAATATAATTATTTATATTATTATTATTTTTTTATTTATTATTATTATTATTATTTTTAATATTATTGTTATTATTTTTAATATTATTATTATTATTTTTAATATAATTATTATCATTTTTTTTTTTTTTTTTTCATATAATTATTATTATTATCATGCGCACAATAGATCTTTTAGGTCGAGGTGCACAAATAGCCTATTTTAAATATTATTATCATTATTTTTAATATTATTATTATCATTATTTTTAATATTATTATTATTATTAATTTTATTATATTAGTATATTTTGTAGTTTGGTTGAGTAAATCTATCTTGATTTATGCAAGCAGAGTAGAGGTAACAAACCTCCTTCAGATATAAAATTTGTTGGAGATTTGAGTGTCTATAAGAAACATTTTACATTATGATTAATATCTATTAAATTACATTACACTATAATACTAATAAATTTATTGATATTTATTATTAAATTATGTCATATTTCTTATTGTAGTTATAATAAAATTTATTTTATAATATGTTTAATATTGGATGATAAAAGATTTAGTATAACTTATAATTTTATAATTATATATTAATAAAAATATTGGTGTATATTTTTTCCATTAGACAAATATATACAAAAACTGCACAGTTAACATAATTATAAAGCAGAATTATTATTTATAACTTTTAGCCAAAAAAACTAAATATATTATAAAAATCAATTTTATCTTAATTTTATTGAAATTATCTTTTATGATTATTAAATTTTTTTTATATTTATTTATATATATGATAAATATTAATATATGTGTATTTTTTATTATAGAGCTGCTAGTGGATTAAACGGTGTTGAATTTGAAGGCAACAAATTACACGCTGAACAGCTGGATAAGAATCAACGCCGTAACAACCGTAGTCAGCGTAATCAATATCCCGGTATGCCAGGTCCAGGACGTCAGGCTGATTTTCCGCTGCGCATTTTAGTGCAAAGCGAAATGGTTGGCGCCATTATTGGACGTCAGGGTAGCACTATACGCACGATAACACAACAAAGTCGCGCACGTGTTGATGTGCATCGAAAAGAAAATGTTGGCTCACTTGAGAAAGCAATTACTATATATGGTAATCCAGAGAACTGCACAAATGCATGTAAACGTATTTTAGAAGTAATGCAACAGGAAGCCATTTCAACGAATAAAGGGTAAGCTAAAAGTTAACATATACTAGAATTTTATAAATAAAGTAAAAGTATAAGTAACTGATATCATATATGAGTATTATTAAATATACTTTAATTTTTATACTGAAATGTATTCGATTCCCATTTGAAACTTCTGTTTTTTCAATTTATATATATATATGTATAATCTATAATAATTACAAATATCTTCTATCTAAGAAATGAAAAACTTGTAGTAGGTGGGTGATATATTTTATTAGGCATATATAATATTAGGCATTATATAGTTTGATGAAGAAAAAACATTTGACAATAAAAACCGTAAGTCCTCAAAAACAATTAAGTCGACTTTAGTTAGTCATATAATTTCTTTGAGATTGAAAGAAATTTCGGCATATGTTCATTTAGTTTCAAGGCAATCAACGGTCTGGTCTCAATGATAATTAAAGGTATTGATTGCAATTAAAGTCCATAATAGGAATTAAAGACATATGGGCATTGTCGTCATAGTCCGATGATTGTAGGATACATGAAAGGAATTACAAAATACGAATATGAGTTACGATATATGTAAGAAGAAGAAGTGTTGATTCGGTTAAAGAATGGATAAGTGATGGGAAGGACACTTAGTCAAAACTATCCTGGAACAAATTAGAGAAACTTCACCTCCTCTATGGGTCGGAGATCAATTAATTAAAGAACAATAGGGCTGAAATTAACATGTACATTAATATATGAAAATAGGTGAACAACATCATGTAGGTAGAGTTTCAGTTGGGCGTGAGCTCTACATGGCCACACCCTAATCTCAATTGACACGCGGAAAACATTCTTCTTTCTTGAATATATCTGATAGAGGGCTATTGTGAAGTTTCTTGCTATGGAAGTGTGGTCTCAAAGAAGATACTGCATCTGTATGTAGGGATGTTAATTCACTTTTCTATTCAACCTTACTGATGTAGGCTCTATTGTAATAGATATATGAATTAAATTAAAAAAATAGTCGACGCATGTTTGATGGATAGGGGACTCTACTGAACATATTGCCCTTGAGATACTCAACTGTGTCGAACGCAGGTAGAATAGCAGTTGATTCTGCATTAATTGTAGCTAAGGGTGCTTTGGAGAGACCACCTTTCTTATTTAAAATGAAAAATTTGTTGATTGTAGTTGATTTTGCATTAGCGGTAGTTAAGCAAGAGAGCATTTCTGTTATTTAGGATGTAAAATTTGAGGTATGTTTGATAATATGTATGCATCCTGCATAATATCACGGTATTGCACTACCACCTGACAGCACAAAACTGTGGCGGTACATGCGTTTTTCAAATCAAGTTTTCAAATTTCAGATATTTGTTTAAATAGAATAAATAGAATACTACTTATATAGTGGTGTTCTACTGAAAGGTACTTGCTAGTCATACATAATTCCAGCTAAATTAGGGATTTGATTAAGTTTATAGACTTGTCAGGTTGGTTGGTCACTATCACTTGAATAGAGTAAAAGTGAACCATTCTGAGTCGTACTTTTCAGTGTTGTTCATATGCTAAGCTCTAGTGTATGTATAAAGAACTCAATCCGTGGCATCACAACGGACCATTATTTGAGTTTAAGTGGGCTTTTGAACACAAGTCTGTAGTTCCAACCTAACATACTGAGGTTTCACTTCTTTATTCGTGTCAGCGTTGCCATGTAGTTTTCATTTATAGTAATTAGTCTTACAACAAAGTTTGTCACAATACCTTATTCAAATTATGATTAAATATATATATTGTACACTATTCTTATCATTATTTACATATAAATACTAATTTATTATATTGAAAATTTTTATTCATTATCAGTGAAATATGTCTTAAGATTCTTGCTCATAATAACCTTATCGGACGCATAATTGGCAAAAATGGTAACACAATTAAACGCATCATGCAAGATACAGACACTAAAATAACAGTTAGCTCAATTGATGATATCAGTAGCTTTAATTTGGAGCGCATTATTACCGTTAAAGGTCAAATAGATAATATGTCCCGTGCTGAGAGTCAAATAAGCTCAAAACTACGTCAAAGTTACGAAAACGATTTGCAAGCCATGGCACCACAGAGCCTCATGTTCCCCGGTCTGCATCCGATGGCTATGATGTCAACACCTGGCAATGGTATGGTTTTCAATGCAAACATGCCATATGCTTCGTGTACCGGTTTCCATATGTCCAAAACTCCCACCACAGTGGTGCCACCTGCCTTCCCCAATGATATGCAGGAGACCACTTACCTTTACATACCGAATAATGCCGTTGGCGCCATAATTGGTACAAAAGGCTCTCATATACGCAGTATAATGCGATTCTCGAATGCATCATTGAAAATTGCACCGCTCGATGCTGAAAAACCTGCCGAACAACAAACAGAACGTAAGGTTACCATTGTTGGTACGGCAGAGGGTCAATGGAAAGCACAGTATATGATTTTTGAAAAGATGCGTGAAGAAGGTTTTATGTGCGGTAACGATGATGTTAGATTAACTGTTGAAATTTTGGTAGCAAGCTCACAGGTAAAATATTATTATATATAATAAATTTTGAATATGAAAATTAGAATAAAATATATTTATTTTATTGAATTTCTCATAGGTTGGCAGAATTATTGGTAAGGGTGGACAAAATGTACGTGAATTGCAACGTGTCACTGGTAGTGTTATTAAATTGCCAGAACATGCTAACGTTGCACCCTCTGGAGGTGATGAAGATACACCAGTTCACATTATTGGACAATTCTATAGTGTTCAAGTATGTATAGTATAGTATAGTATAGTATAGTATAGTATTTCTTAATTTATTTTAAAGAATTCAACTATAATCTGTAATGATTTTTTTATATTGTATTATAGTCTGCTCAGCGACGTATACGTGCTATGATGATGTCAACGAATCCGCCACCAGTTACCAAAAAACAGAAAGCTGCCAAAGAACAGTCCGCCGCTGCAGCTGCTGCTGGTAGTGGGTCGCATGCACACCAGCCTCAGCAGCAACAGCAACCGCCACAACAACATGTTCAACAACAAGTCCCACAACAGCAACCAACCCAGCAACAAGGTACAAGTTCAAGTCAGTAAGCTTACGTCTAAAATACAAATTTTCGTTTTCGTTCACAAAAATTATATATTTTAATTTTATTGTAAGATTTTATAAAAGTTTAAAGTGTGTGTAAATTAGAATTTTGTTTTTTTTTTCTTTTAATATTTGAGATAATTTGAATTTTCCTTTATTTTATTACACATAACATAAACCACACATTAACGTTTTTTTATATATATTATGTATACAAAAACGAATATATTTGCATACTCGTTTTTAAATTAAACACTTACAAAAAGATAAATATTCATATATAGTAATAGTAAAATGGAGAAAAATAAAAATGTGAAAACCATGAAATAGTTTAAAATAGCTAAACACAATAAATATATATATATATATATATATATATATATATATATATATATATATATATATATCTATATATATATAATTTTAGTACTACTGCTAAATAATCAAAATACTATAAATTTTTTAAAATACATTTTTGGATAAATATATAATCAATAAAATTATCTATATGATGATGTTATATATACAATATGTATATATACGTACGTATACATTGAAAATCATAAGCAGCTTCTTATATAAAATAAAATTACTCAAAATACAATTGCTTTGCAATAGCGATAATAATATTAATAATAATAGCTAAACTTAATAACATTAAACATACTTACAATGTCTTCAAAACAGAAAGTTTCACTTAGAAAACTCAAATGAAAAAATATTTAAAAAAAATTTTTAAACACTAAAGTAACCGGTTACTTGCTAAGTATTTGGCATTCACATAGTTACCACTTGGAAAATTTATAAATTTATTTAATAATTAATTTTTTCGAACCTATATCAAAACAATAAAATTTAACTTAAATAACCGAACTTAAGAAAAATAAATTTTACAATCAAAAAAAATAAAATAAATAAATGTAACATCAAATAGATATTTCTTAGTACCTCGAATATAAAGAAACATATTAAACAAGATAATCGGTTCTATATGAAATCAGTAGGAAATTTAAAGCCAACAAAATAAGCATTATAACATTATAACAATAATACATACATACATTGTTTGTCGTCAGTAGTAGAAAAAAAATTCCACTGAGAATTAATTACTGAATCAAAGGTTTCAACAAGAAAAAAAAATAATATAATGAAAATAGACATTTTATCACTATAACAAAAAAAAAATAAAATAAAACATTTATCGTATGATAATTGCATTAATAAACCATATTTCTACTATAAAAACAAAAAAAAAACAAAAACTCCAAAAATGAAAATATACTTTTAAATTGGATTTTCTTTTTAAAAACGAAAACACATACATAAAGAAGATGATTTATGCAGAATTATAAATTATTATATATATATAATTTTTTTATTTTCATAAAAAACAAACAAAAATAAAAATAAAATTATTTTAAAAACTTGATAACGTTATTGAATGATATAATAAAATAAAATAAAATAAAATACAAAATAATCAATGCTGATGAAACCAACGTTTGCCTTGAATCGGTGCTGAAATGTTTTTTTAATGATTTGTTAAAATATTAAAATTTTTGTAAACTAAACTTAAAGATAATGTAAAGTTGAATTTGTATGTAACTTGTAACTTTTTTATTAACTTGTTTTAATTTAAAATATTTATAATTACGAAGAACGAAGAAAATAATAGTTAAATATATGAATATATATATATATATTGATGTTAAACAATAGCATTTAAAATAGAGCAGCAAACAATCAAACAATTTTTACCAAAATATACAAAAAATATAATTTTTATTTTAATTTTTACAATAGCCCAATTTATTTACACATATACATATACATATTACTACATATATTGTTTTTATGTAGTACACACAGACATATCTGCACTTGTTTTTGTTGTTTTTCCCCCCATACACAAAGTAGTTTCCGTTTTAGTATACTATTATTAACTGTTAATAAATATATAAATAATATATTTTACGTAATTTAATTATACAATATTTATTTAAATTGAATTTTATTAATATATAATTAATTATATTTAAAAAAAAATTAACTTAAATTTGTTAGATATTTTTAAATATATAGATTTTTAAAATATAGTTTAACAAGCACCGCGCAACCATTAAAAAAACAAAATTTTCGGCAACTAAATTTCACACCATGAACAACATTCGGCAAAAAAAAAATTTACAGCACAGTAATATATATATATATAGAATTCTGAATTCATATATATAAAAAAATTAATGGATTCCTTGACTTTAAAAAAAAAGTTTAATTAATAACAATAAAACAAAAGAAAAAAATTGTTTGCATATTATTTAAATAAAAATTAAAAGAAATAATGAAGTAATGAATGATGAAGTAATTTAAATACCTCAATGTAAGTGCATTATCTTCTATAAAACTCTATAAAGAAAATAATAACAAAACAATTTATTTAATTAAATAAAAAAGAAATTAATATAAAATGATATAAAATGATTTAAATTGATTTAAAAAAATAAAAACAAAACTAAAGACACATAAATAAATATTGAAAATAAATTTTGCAAATGATTATAAATATCAGCTAATATATTTAAAACAATAATAAATAAATAAATATATAAAAACAGCAACAAATTAATATGAGAAATGTTTAAAATTAACGCTGGTAAAACACCTAAGTTTTTTTTAAACATTTGTTGGTCAAAATTGTTAATTATTAAAAAGCATATCATAAACAAATTATTATAAAATAATTATTTTATGTATAAAAAAAAATTGATTTGCTCAAAAGTAAAAGAAAGCAGCAACGTTATTACGGCTAAATATATATATAAATTGTTGTTGCTGTCAAACAAACAAACAAACTTTATCAGGATAATTGTGCACTTGAAGTAGCTGTCGAGAGTTATAGACTCTATAGCAGTACATAGTATTAGCAGCAACTTAATTCCAATCAAAACTTGAAAAAAAATTAAAAAATTATTTATTTGAATAATAAAAAGAACAAAAATAATATTGGACAATTTGCACTGTTATGGATGAACACGTTTAAATTACTTTCAATAAACTTTCAAGAAACAGCAAAACAAGTTACAACAATTAAACAACCAAAAATAATTATCTTAATTATTCGACTTATCTCGTTTTATGCTTGACTAATGAAGATTATAAAAAATTATAATATAGCAAGAAAGAACTTCAAAATAATAATTTCGGCAGTTATATGAACGTACAGTAAAGATATATCTTCTCATTTCTTCAACCTACACCTATTTTATTACCAGCTTATCGAGAAACTATATAAAAGCTAACTTATAAAATCTTGAAGAAGTAGCACTTCTCTAATTTAAAAGAGAAAAAAAAATAATCAATTGATACCAAAATAAATGTAAACTAAAGAAATTTGTTAAAATGAGCTAAAACAAAGATAAAGATAAAGCTAAAGATAAAATTAAAAATGAAAATGAAAATGAAAAAGGAAGAATAAAACATGTAAATAAAGAGGGAAAATATTTTATAAGGCATTTTATAATAAATTATATTTTTAAATTCAGCAGAGTATTGTATGAAGAAAGAAAATATTTATTTATTAATATAATGCTTAAATATTTTTGCATTTACTTTATTTTATTGTTAATAATTACAAAATTGCCAATCTAATATAAAATATTAAAGATATATAATTTTAAAAGTTTCTGTTTCTAAATTGGAACAACATATTATAATATGTTTGAAACTAAATAACAACAAAAAACAACAACAATCCTTGGAATATTTTAAAAATCTTAATTAACAAAAAGTATAACATAAAAGTTAAAAGGGTTAATTATTACTCTCATAAAAAAGAGTTAAAAAAAATATTAAATTTTAACAACATTTATACTTGCTTGCTTGCTCCTCACTTGAATAAAGGATTGTCAGGTTTTAATATATAGCAAGTATTATTAACTAATAAACAAATGAAAGTATTTTTTATACAAAACTTTTTTTAAAACTAAATTTTACAGCGCATAAAAAAGTGGATATTATTTAAAAGTAATATTAAAAATTGTGTAAAGGCAAAAAAGAGTAAGGAAAGTTTATTTATTAGTATTTAGAGGCTATTTATATCGTTATTTATATAAAGTGAAGATAAAAAGATAGGGAGAGAGAGATATAGAGAGAAACATTTATTAAATGATGAGGAAAAAAATTTTTTTAAAAATATTTGAATTTTTAAATTATGTTTAAAAAACATAAATTTCTATTTTTAAATTTAAGTTAAAAAAGAAAAATCTTAAAATAAAGAAAAAAAAACGTAAAATTATATAAAAAATTACTTGAAAAATTTTTCTAAATTAAAATTTTTATGTTTAATATTTTTGATGAGTATAATAATTAATTATTTAAATTTGAAATGTAAGATGATTTTTTTAAATTATTAAATTATAATTATAAAATTATAAAGAAATTTGAAAATTATAATTTAATGAAGGAAAATAAAAAAGAAAAAAATTGTTACGAATTGAATTCGTTAGAAGTTGTGTTAAGTTGTGCCAAGTACTGATTAAAATTTAAGTGTGATAAACTTTTTATTAATTTATTTATTTAACATTAAATATTTTTAATGTGTTTATATATTCCTAATATTTTTTAAACATATAATTATATAAAAATTTTTTTTGGCATAAATTAATTAAGCGCAAAAGTTAATTTATTTAACAAAAACTTTTTAAAACTTAATTTCATTACTAAAAACTTTTTTTTATTTTTCAAAATTTACTCACCATGTAAACACATAAATATACTGTTTTCTTGCAAAATTTTAAATATGTAAGTGTATTTCAAAAGTTATCACACATTTTTATATATTTTAATTATAATATAAATTAATTGAAATTGTTTAAAATTGATTAAATTAATTGATTATAAAGATTAAAGAAAAAATAAAAACGAACAATAACAACGAAAAAGTCAACAACAGGAAAAGTGCAACACACAACAAAACAGTTAAGAATTAAAATTAAAACAAAAAAACCGATTATTAAATTAAAATCAATAAAAATTGCAAACAATATCTGCAGTATATAATAAAATAAAAAAGAATAACATTTAATGATTTT